GGCTGGCGATAGCTTCACTGTACTGAGACTTAGCCCCTTGTGCCACCAGGGAGGCCCCTCTTTTTCTTTTTAAAGATTTATTTTATTTATTTATGCATACAAGAATTGGGGTCTAGGCCAGAGGTACGGAGGGTGAAAGGATTCACCAGAGACAGAGTGGAGAGCAGAAGAGGCGGACTGACTGAAATACACTGCTAAGGGGAGCAGTGGGCGAGACAGAAGAGGTTTGCTGTGCCACGTGAGTTAGCGCCCAGGCCAGGGATCAAACTCTTTACATAATGATTAGTATTCAATCTTTCTGTATTAGGATATTCATGCTTTATCTGTCAAATGCAATTACAGTCTTTTCAAAAATGTGTTTATAGTTTTTCCTTATTTTTTATATACTCAAAGGTATCATTTCCCCCCCGAGTTTTAGTTTCATGCTTAGAAAAGCCTTCTACATGCCAAGATGGCATTACAGTTGGCAAAGTGAGATCTTCACATTTTATATCACTTATTTTAATTTGTAAATTACCTTAAAAATAATTTTTCCTAAGAAGAAATTTCAGTCACTTCTCACTGTAAGATAATGATCCAACAATTTATTCTAAATTTTTTATAATTTCACTCGCTATATTTAAATCTTTAATTCACCTAGAATTCATCTGAGAATACGATATAAAGTAGTGGCGCAACTTTCCCCCAAAATGTCAATTTCCCAAGACTTTTTTTTATTATTTCCCCCACTGATTTGAAATAGCATTGTCTCATTAACTTTATCATATAGTAAATTATTAAATAAGCCTTGGTTTCTATCTAGATTGTCTATTATATTCTATAAACCCATTTCTCTCTCTGTTGTCACTGTGCCCATGGGTTTAAAATATGTATGTAGGGACCTCTCCGGTGGTGCAGCGGGTTGAATGTAGCGCTGTGAAGCTGTCCGAAGCCTCTACAGTGTGGGTTCGATTCCAGCCAGGGAGCAACCCACATGGCGTGGCAGACCTCTCCTGTCTCGCCCACTGCTCCCCTCAGCAGTGTATTTCGATCCTTCTGCCTGTTCTGTTCCCCGCTCTGTCTCTGGTGAATCCTCTCACCCTCCCGTGCCTCTGGCCTGTTCCCCAGTGTTTGTATAAATAAAAAATTAATAAAATATGTATGTAGCTTTATAATACTGTCACACACCTCATAAGGAGTTTTTGGTCAACAATGGACCACATATATAATTGTGGTTCCTATATATAGCCTCTGTAGTAAGTGATACCATCTAGCTTTGTACAAGTACATTTTCTGAAGTTCACACAATGATGAAATCACTCAACAACACATTTCTCATACTGTGTTGATACATGACTATATATGCTAGACTATCTTAGAATGCACAGCTCTTCACAGTCTTCCTTCTAAACTTTGCTTGCTCATTTATTCTAGTGTAAGTAATTCCTCCAGATGAATCTCATACTTATCAGTTTCCTACACCCAATAAATTTCTAAGGTTTGGGTTCAAGTTGTGATAAATTCTATAGCTTAAATGAAGATAGACTGATACATGTATAACATATTACCTTCCCATCCAGATACATGGTATGGCTGGCTATGTTCTTTTATGCCACCTCCCTGATAAAGTTTTTATTTTCAATTTATCAATCCTAAAAGCTCTTTGTATGAAAAGAGTATTAACTGTTTGGCTGTCAAATATATTGCAAATATTATTTTCAATGTTACCGATCAGCTTTAAAAGCTTATCAGAATGTTAGTTGAGGACGTACATAGTTATACACCAGAAATATACACGGAAAAAGGAAAATTAAGACACCTCTAATAGGAAACCAGGCATTGATTCTTATGGTTTTCAGGAAAAGACAATTGGGAAAAAAAAAAAAAAAAAACCCAAGATCATTATGTTTAATAAGACTATGAAAACAATGACTACAACACATTTCTAAAACACCTCACCTAGGCAAACCTAAACTCTATGGCAAATTCTGTAACTGGAACAAGACACACAATAGACCATTTAAAATAAAGACAATAAACTTCACACTTTAAAGAACCCAGTCCCTCATTCTACTTGCTTTCAACATGGCATATAATTTTACAGTTCTGTCTATTCACCTTCTATAAATGGCTGAGCAACCTTGGTTAAAAAAACAGTGGGAATCTCAGACATTTTGTAGGGCACTGATTTTTATTGAACCACTTTTACCACCTGTCAATTTTCAAACATTTTTAGTGAGCTTCACTTCCCATATACCTTAGCAGCCATTTCCAACTTCTGTATCCTTCCCACCTAAAAGCCACTACTCCTATCCTTATCCCTCAGATCTTACTTCCTTTATGACACCATTCTTTGCAAACTTAACTACATTGATACTTTATGCCCTTAACTCTTTCCATCTGATCTTAGAAAAGTCTTCTTTCCATAGCGCCTTAATTTACGCACATTGAAAGATGATGCAAAACTCCTTAATTAATGCTCCCTGCTCAGGAACTCTGCTCCATAATTTACTTCCAGGTTCACTTGTATATTCAACTTCTCACTCTCTTTGGTTTCTGCCACGCAGCCAACAAGCATATTCAAATGTGTTCTATTCTTAAAACAAACACCCCCCCCCACCTCTCCTTCACATAAAAGCATTGTCACCATCAGCCCTTCTCCGTTCCCTGCTCAGGGAGCAGTCAGCATGACCACTTGTTCATCTTCCATTCATTCCATAATCCCCCTTTTTAAAGTGTTATGAATGTGCCTTTACCTAAATTTACTGACAAAAAGTTACTGTCTAGTGACACTAGACTACCCAATGAAGAGGGATAGGGCCTTTGGCCTTTCTACAAATCCTGTAATTTTGCCTATGACTATGTCTACTGATGAGAAATGGGACTACTGCAGCAGGGATCTCATGAGTTTCTCCTTGGATCCAAACTGGAGAAAATTGCAGACTGTACATAGAAAACCTTTTAAAATTTTCATAAGTCACAGGGAGTGGAGGGGTATTATTTGTGTACAAAAGTGTTTAAAAGCATCTTCCCCAAAAAAACTTAGTTGATACAGTTTAAGGAAATCTGGGATTGCCTCTTTACTTCTTTAAGAGTTCATCAAACATCAGCTCTACAATGTCTCTCATTAAAATAATCTACCACCTCAAGAAGCAAAAAATCTTTCTATGAAGCAATAGACACAGGAATTAAATACTAAATACGAGACCTTGACTAAATTACCTAACTTTCTCACCTATTAAACAAGCTAATGCATGTAAAAGCATTTAACACAGTTCCAGGCACAGCTTAAACACTTCCTTCACCTTAGCTCACTGCATACTCCCAACATGTATACAACTATTGGGAGTTAAGGTGTACCAAAAAAAAGCAGTATTAAAATTTTAACTGTGAAACAATATGTGGCAGAAGCACCATCTATTCATACTCACTAATAATCTTCAAATGAAAAGCTTCAATTAGAACTGAAAGTTACTCTAAAATACCCAAGTTTTCTGACAGAATTCAACCACTAAACGTATTTTGACAGTTTAAATTGCCAGTGATTTTCTCTAAAAAGAGTATGTCTGATTAAATAAATGGACAAAGTTAGAACACACACAGCTGCCAGCTTCCTATGTTGAGAAAGACAAATCTACTCATCCTTTCTTGGGAGGAATAAATCTTAAATATACACAATTTTCTTAGGCATATATAAAAATTAACTGACGTATTAAAAGGACTAGGAGTGAAGGATGGTTTTCTCTAAATTCCCCACCCTCCTTATAATATGAATGACCAAAATAAATCCTCTCCAAATATTTAGAGGAAAACACTGTAATTGTTAGAATTGGCGAAAAGCAGCTGGATTTAGTAAAATGTAGCAAGTCAGCTGCTTTCTGAAAAAATATTCTGGGGGTGGAGAAAGTGGGCAATCTTCCCAATGAAACAACTGCATAAAACACCCTACACATATAAGAACATACACATCAGTTAAATATCAGCTTACAGTGTTACAGTCAACTTACAAATGAAGAGGCAGTATTTAAGATGTAAAAAATATATCATCCTCTATCTACAATCAAATTTTGCATGAATGGCTACTGGAAAATAGGAGTTATCCACGCCGATTCAAGGCAAGGCAGACCAAATAATAAATCCACTGTTCACAGTCAAATGTGGGGGGGAGAGAAAAAGGGAGGCTCCTGAGTCCACAAAGTTCTCCTCCCTCTCTAAACACTGCTAAAACTGTCCACGTCTAAAGACACTTACCCTTGAAACTCCTTGGAGGGTGACTTTGAGACTTTTTGTTCTGATTTTTGAGGAGGAGCGATTTAGGAATGTTTTACAAGATTGCAACGGTGAAATACACGAATAGAACTTAAATTCTAAAATATTTTTCCTTCCCCTTCCTTTCCAAGTTTAATCCCCACTTTCAGATTAATAAAATCCCCAATTCAATCCCAAGTACAAATAAAAACCAAAGCTTGACAGAATAAGCGATAATGCACAATACTACTTCCAATAATCCCTCCATGCCTCTCAATGGAGAGAGGGGACATCAAGAAACGAAAAAGGAGGAAAGAAAAAACAAAAAACGTGGAGAAGGAGGGCAAAGAGTTGAAAGTAAGACGGGGAGAGAAGTGAGCAAAAAGTCCTGCTGATTCTGACACTTAATTGGGAAAAGGGGGGCGGAAAATACCCGAAGACACGGGCTAGAGGGGAAGGACTGAGCGGGGCGGGGGGCAACAGCGCAAGTTCAGGCAGAAGGCCTGCCCAAGGGGGCGACAGCGTGTGGGGGGGAACCCCACAGGGTGGGAAAAGACTCACTGGGAAGAGATATCAACCAAGGCCCAACAGCTTAAGACACAGAGGATACGGAGACAGGGTGCCTGGAAACTGGCAGCCCCGAGACCGCGCCAGATGTCTGAGGAGACCTCGCCAGGGGGGGAGCCGGGTTAACCGCGGGGGCTCGCAGACGTGGAAGGGGGTGCGGCCCCAGGGGCGGCCGCGGGAGCGCAGGAGCACCTCACGGCCCGTACCTTATAGTAAACATCGAACTGGATGTTCTCGGGCAGGGAGCGGATGTCTCGGCGGGAGCGGATGTAGTTGTCCACGACCGCGGAGATGGCGGTGTTATAGAGAGTCTCTGGGATCCACTCGAGCTCCACGGCCGCCATCTTCCTTCCCTCCTCCTCCGCCTCCTCCGCCTCCTCCTCCCGAAGGCCCCCGCCTCCCTCCGTAGCGAACTCCTCTGCGGCCCCGGAGGCTTCGGAGGGGCGGCGGCAGCCACGCGGGCGCGCGCTGAAGGGCGGCACGGCCCGGGCTCCCCCGGGGAGCGAGCTGCGGGGCGGCGGCGGACGCCCGCCCGGGCGCGGAGCAGGGCAGGCAGCGCGGGGACGGCCGGGACAAGGCCTCACATTCCGGGTTTCGGAGGTACCCGGGTTCCGTCCCAGCGCCGATCTCCGCAGGGGCGGGCCTGCGTGTGCAGCGTCATGACGTCAACGCGCGCCGACGCGCCGGAGGGAAGGAATGCGGCAGGCGAAAGCTTGGGAAGCGCGTGCGCCCTCCCACGGGCCGTGTTTTCCGAGGGGCAGGAGGCGGGCAGGCGGGCGGGCGGGACTGGGGGGCGCGGTGGGGGGTGGCGAGGAGAGTTGGTTGGTTTCTTGCGAAGGACGCGTGGTGACAGCGTTTTTGCCCTCCGGTGCCGCGGGGCTCGGGCGGAGCGGTCCGTCCTGCAGTCCGTGCAGCAGGAGTTCTTCTTAAGGACATTTTTGAGGCTCAGATAAAAGTTTGGGTCCTCTCCCCGCAAAATGCACAATTATTAGGACACGGAAAATTAGGCATTCGGGAGTTCATGTTACTCGAGAAACCCTGCCTTAGGCTCCCGTCCCCAAACCAAGTGAAGAACCTTTGGTGCAGAAGCTAGGGATCAGAATAGAGGTTTTCAGAAACTTGGTTTTCCTTGTACAAATATCTGCGATGTTTGATTTTTTTTTTTTTTAACCACAATTCTTTTTCTAAGTAAAATTTACCTCCTCAAAAGGAGGTGGGGAGGAACACCCCCTTTTATAGCGGGTAGCGGACTCCTGGTATAAAGGAATTTGTAGGTAGGTCAACCTGATTACACAGCTATAAATAGTGGAGACAGAAAAAGGGCTCAATGGTGGCTGTGACAGGACTTAATGGTAAGATAGAAATGAAGGTTCTGATTTTCTCCAGAATTCCCACCTCAGAGGACTGCTGAATAATCGAGAGTGTTTGTTTCAATTCCTTCTTTTCCTCAGCTTGAACATCTGCTATTTATGTAACTTAGTTTTCCAAGTCTGTGATTTGAAGAACTTCACGTAATATCTTTCTGCTCTAGGAACTTATGAAGGGAAGTATTGGTCATAATTGGTGACGGTGATACCGGAATTGTCAGGCCTTGTCTCCCAGCCAGGAACATATCCTGAGTCCCAGCCACTAGACCCCCCACGGGTTGGTGTCTCACAAAGCCGCAGCAGGAACTCCGCAGACGCTCAGGCAAGCTAATGAGAAGAGGCAGGTTTGTTTAGAGAAAGAAAAAGTTTATTGAGGAGAAAAAGAACAGAAATAAAGTGGGACTCCCAGGCCAGGGAACCAGGCCTGGGAGGGGCAAGAAGCCAAAGTGGAGTTGTGTCTCAGGGAATATATACCTTTTTTCCCTCATTATTCTAAAGCTCCACCAGTCTCTTTGTGATTGGTTAGTTCTCGGCTGTGTCACTTAATTTGCTACTGAGTGGGGGATCTTCACATTCCTTATCTAACAGCTTCACATTCCTTATCTAACAGCTTTGTCTTTCCCCATTTGTTGCATCTTTATCTTTATGGCCCAGTCCTCTGGATGGGCATCCCTGCTTTGAAGTTAAACAGCTGCCCTTCTAAGTTGTCCATAAATTAAACCACTCTCCATTTCTCCAATCTCTGCCTCCCTTTACCACCTGAAGGAAACCAGGACCAGCTTTAACAATGTTGTCCTTGGTCCTGAGATATTTGTTTTTCCTAGTGGAATTGGTTACATTCCCTTGGTTGTCCTTATCTCTGAAGCCTCCCTAAATTCTTCAGAGGTCCCCTCCTGCACTGTCCCTAAAACTGCATAATTCCTAGCTTGCCCTGTGTCTCAACGGGGTCAATCCCATAGTCTTTAAGTCAATGCAAATCCTGAAAACAACATCAATAATAATGTCTTGACATTTAAAGCTAAAGAAATCGTAAGTGGTTGTAACAGTTCATCTGGCTTTTAATGTTAAATGATTAATCTGTTTAAAAAGCAAAAAGCAAAACACAGTCATCTTCTCAGCCCATACCAGTTCTTCCTCTGTAGTCCTAGGAAAACTGGTTGACTTTAAGGTACAGTTACCAACTTAGCAAGAAAAAAAATACAGGGCCTACCCGGTGGTGCAGCGGGTTGAGTGCTGCGCTATGAAGCTGCCCGCAGCCTCTGCAGCGCGGGTTGGATTCCCGGCCGGCCAGGGAGAAGCCCACATGGCGTGGCAGACCTCTCCTGTCTCACCCGCTGCTCCCCTCAGCAGTGTCTTCGGTCCATCTGCCTGTTCTGCACCCCACTTTGTCTCTGGTGAATTCTCTCACCCTCCCGTGCCTCTGACTGTACCCCAGTTCTTGTATAAATAAATAAATCTTCAAAAAATAAAAAAATACAAATGCCCGGTTATGTTTTAATTTCATATAAACAACTAGGTTTTTAAAATTATAAATATGTTACAGGCAATAATTTGACCCACCCATTCCATTTATTCAAACTCATCAGTTCCTTCAGCAAACCCAGCATCTGGAATCCTTAGACACAGCTTATTTGAGGCTGCTGGATCCTTTTCTCACAAAAATGCAGTTATCCGTACATTATCCATGCAAATATTGCACTGGATGTACTTAGACTGAAAAAATATTCATTGTTCATCTGAAATTCAAATTTAATTGGGCATCTGTATTTTATCCTGCAACCCTAGTTCAAGGAAGCCATAAATCCCTTGAAGTTGAATACAGTTGTTTCCTACCTTTTGGCAATAGTGACCAACACTGCTATGAACAGAGATATCTCTTCAAATCCCCACTTTCCATTTTTTCAGTATATACCTAGGAATAGAATTATGGATCATATCATAATTCTATGTTTAACTTTTTGACAAACTGCCAAACTCTTCCATAGCAGCTGTACCACCTTTTTATTTTCCCAACGAGCAATGCCCAACAATTTTGATTTCTTACCATTCTTAACACTTCTCATTTTCCTTTTTTTTTTGCTACTACTATCCGAATGAGTGTATGGTGGTATTATAATATTTTTTATTTCACAAAAATTTTTTGTTTCACAAAAATTCACATTCGAGTGATAAACTAGCACAATAAAAGAAAGGATATTAATTGCAAAGCCAAAGACACTAAAGTTATCTTGGAAAAACATGTTTGACAATACATAGCAAGAGCCTTAAAAACACACAAACTCCAACTTAAATTTATAGATGTTTATTCACATGTCCAAATAAGTATAAGGATGTTCACACAGCCTGATTATGTATTATGTCAGTTTTCAAGTATGAACAGTAACTTTTCTCGCATGGAAGCTGCAATAGAACGGTTCTGTTCTCATTAGTTTTAAGTGAGGGGATGCAGAAGAGGGAAACAAGGATTCTTTACTTTTGAGTTCCAAAAGTCTAGGTCCTGCAGGGAAATAGAAATAACTCATATGTGAAGTGATAGGTTTGGGAATGACTGGATGAATAGACTTGCCTCATCCCTTTCACCAGCCAAATTCCCTGGAGAGAAGAAAGGAAAAAGGGGGAAAGCCCAAATTAGAAAATATAGGAAACTGATTATGAAGGAAGTGCCCTGCACCCTTTTACCTTACCTCCATTAACCCACTCTCCTACACCTCTGCATGGAAAAGGTTGGGGGATCTGAGTACAGAAAGTTTACTTTCATAGGCAAAGTCCAGAAGCACAGTAAGAACCCATAGTGTCCTGGCAGATAGACCTTAGACATCACAGGACCTGACAGAATGATATAGAATGACCAGGGGCTAACCAGACTCTATTTAGGGTTTTTGCTAGCCCATGATTTGCTCAGAACAACAGAATGATATTTGTGATTCCAAGAGCTTTTGACACTCTCCTAGACCTGCACACTGGCAGCCCATCACAGGAGCTGACAATCCTCAAATCTAAGAGAACATTCTTGAGAAGAGAGAAAAAGCTGTCTCTCAATAAGCTTTTGAAGAAAACACAGCAGTGATGGGTGTGGACTATGACCGAGGTGTCACAGGAATTGGCTATGGCACCGATGCTGATCACTAGATCTCTCACAGAATAAAACAGCTCCAACTGATGTCATAATTTCAGGTTTTCAGGTCAAGTTCCCCAGCCAGGAATTGATGCCAGGCAGTGGTGACAGCACTGAGTCCTAGTCACTAGATCACCACAGGTTGGTGTCTAATGAAGCCACAGCAGGCAGGAACTTCTCTGACTCTCAAGCAAGTGAGTGAAAGAGGCAAATTTGTTTAGACAAATAAGGAAACATTTACTAAGGAGAAAAAGGAGCAGAGATAAAGTGGGACTCCCAAGTCAGTGGAAACATGTCAGGGTGTTGCGAGGGGGGGAAGCAGACCACCTTGGTGGGCTTCCTCAGGGTAGGTGTCACCAATAATTTTCTGACCATAAACAATGCCTTTCAATATGCTTTATTCACGCAAGTCACACAATAGTCAAACACCAGTTCTAACACTACTCTATCGCTATGTCCCTGGATGATGGCTTACCACAACTTCACTTTGGTCGTCCGGGAAGGGTCATCCATGGTTCGACAACTCCAACTCAACCCGTGAACTCGGCGGCTCAAACTCGGTCTCGACTCCGCAGGATGTCCAACGGTTGCAACCTGCCAACGATGTCCAGGGTTTCTTTGACGGATCTAGAAGGGGTGAGACAGCTCTGGTCATGCAGAGTCCCGTGCTGGTCTTTTTTTTTTTTTTTTTTAATAGAGGCATGTTTTATTTAATTATTTGTTTGTTTGTTTGTTTGCTTGTTTTGTTTTGTTTTATACATGCACTGGGTACAGTCAGAAGCGCAGGAGGGTGAGAGAATTCACCAGAACCAGAGCAGGGAGCAGAGCAGGGAGCAGAGCAGGCAGAAGGACCCAAGTACACTGCTGAGGGGAGCAGCGGGCGGCAGGAGAGGTCTGCGCACCATGTGGGACCCTCCTCTGGTGGCCGGGGAGCAGCCGGGGATCGAACCGGTGCCGCAGAGGCCGCGGGCAGCTTCGCAACCCAGCGCTCAACCACTGCTCCACCGGGGAGGCCCCGGTGCTGGTCTTGAGCTTGTCTTGAAGCCGAAATGCTTTGTGATCGCTTGGTTTATGCACTTTCCCTAAACTAGGTTACATCATCTGTTTACCTAAGTTTGGGATTACTTAATTTGTTTTTCT